AARAATAATGTTTTTGAAGGAATTAAACATCTGAATGTATTTCTAAAAGGARCTATTTTTATTTTTTATATAAAGTTAATTTTTTTGAAAAGTATAAAAATAGCAAAAACAAAATATGAGTTGGATGTTTAAAATAGCACAAAGTATATAGAAGACGTTAGATTGTAAACAACAGTGTGGATGCTGACTCAGCATTCCCACAATAAAGACATGTTTATTTGTCACACCGTGGGGCTGTGCAGCTGTTTGTTTCAGACAGTTTTGAGCATGGAGAATAAAGTCATCAGAGCCGAGGAGAAAGTGTTGCCTCCTTCCGCACCTCTGAGATCACCGAGCTGCTGACGTTCATCACACCCTCAGCTTGCTGCTGATGAAAAGCCTCTATTCCTGCTCTCTTACCCAGACAGCTCAGAGTCTGTGATTGTGGAGCTGCTGGAGAATGACGTCATGAATGCAAAAACTGTCTGACACACAGCCGTGCACAGATATGGACTATTTTTTCTTGACGCAGTTGTTGTTGTAAAAAAAAAAAGAAAAGAAACAGACTGCAATATTTTTGTCAGCGCTGCTGAAATATGCATGATTTGCCAAATGGGAAGAAGTGCGAGATAACAGACTTCCAGCTCCAGTCGAGCATACAGAACAGTGTTTGGAGGTGTAGTTAAAAGACATSAACTCATTTGGTTGCTTGCAGAGAGTTGGATAAACCCAAAGCCCTGCAGCACTGGAGGTGAGACAAGCATTTGCACTTTTCAGTTCGTCTCACAGAAACTCGTTCACAACGACGGGATGGAAAACAAGTGAACTGAGGGTGTTTTCATTCAGGAGATTTCAGYTACATGTCTCAGACCCTCTCGGTCTCTTGTTAAAAACTGGGCAGAATCCCTAAAAACTGCCCTACAGAAGCAGAGTTTTCTTTTCTCTGCAGAAACATGCTTTCTGGATCTACGTCGCAGCTTCAAGGACACCAGTTTCAAACAATGTAGAGTGTTTACATCAGAAGGCTGTAGACTCATTTAACTTCTTTCTGAGAGAATAATATGTAAACTCACAATCTAACAGTTTTAATGAAGAGGCATATAAATAATGTCATCATTGTCTTTGTCTGGTCAATAAAGACACTTCAAAACCTTAAAACTCGATACCTTTTAGGTCTTTTTAGTCGTGTTTCTGGCAGGTGTCTCAGTGATGACGCTCACTTTTCTCCATGATAAACCTTTCACCATAGAATCCAGAATTGGCTCTTTTTGCGATTAAATCCTGTACTTTTTGCGTTCTGCCATCACCTTTGATTTATTAAACTTTTTTTCTTTCCCTATATCAGAGCTATTCAACTAAATTACTCCAGGGGCCACAGTTACCCCAGGCCAACAGCTCAGGGGCCGAACATCCAGCAATTAAAGTCATTATGTAAATAAACCAAGTGTTACAAAGATCTGTTGCCTTTGAAATAGTTTGTTTTGCTGCATTCAATCATGAATACAACATACAGAACCCTATAATAAAACTAGTGATAATAAAACAATATCAAAAACAAAAAGAACACAATATGTCTCCTGTTTAACACAGATATTTTGACATCTCTGACTTGACACATTTTTTAAACCAATGTTATTTTCACTTTCATAGTTTTATCTTCAACTGCTTGTAATTGTAACTGTCTTGAGTGTTCATAGAAATGGTTTTTACCAGCTTCTAGCCAAGATTCTAACATTTCTGTAGATATCAAACATGTCTAAGTTACCTAAAAGAACTGTAATTAAAGTAGAAAATCAAGGGTTTGGGCTTAAGAGATGAATGAACCAAATGGCGGGCCGAACTTTGGTCACTCGTGGGCCAGATGTGGCCTGCAGGCCGCCAGTTGAATAGCCCTGCCATATATTTTTGAACTTTTCTTTCATTAACTTGGTTATTTAGTCATTGCCCTCCAAAGGTGAAGATGGAGAAATGTTCTGCCCCGTCAGTGTGTTTTTACTGTTAGCAAAATATCCCATGTACCAAGGGGTGGAGCTAGACTTTTGTTGCAAGAGGGGGCACAGGGGTGGCCAAGGTGTTTTTTTTTTTTTAGAAAAGTTCTCTTCATTTAAAAACTCAAGATGAATGCCACAGCTAACTGCAAATGACTTTAGTTCAGCTGCTTTACAAAATGTTGAGCAGAAAGTTTGTGTAATAGTAGCTAAAATGATCCTAAAAACATGCTGAATGYTAGTCACAACTTATTATTCAGACACTTTCAAACATRGCTRAAGATTAGTGTAGAAGTAGCTAAAAACAATATGTACCAAATTCTAAATGCTAATCAAAATGTTTCATTTCTGATACTAATCCGAAATTAAACTAACCAATAATGCTAATGCTAATTTCAGCCTCTTTTAAACATGCACTACTGAAAATGTATATAATACAATAGTATCAAACTTTTATCAAATCTAAATCCTCCACTTGTCAGTTATTTAGGCCACCTCTCTGGCTCCAACCCTACGTGAGCATTAATGAATCAAGATTTTTTGGAGCCAATTTAATTCAAGATGGCCRCCTCAGCCAACTCGCTTTAGCAAACACAAAAATGGCAAGAACTCAGTCATCTTTTCACAGATGGAGCTAAAATTAGTTGTGGTAGTAGCTGAGAGTCATTCACAACAGAAAGCAAAGTTTGATCAGTATTCCTCAAAATAAAGTCGTCCTGATTCAAAACTTTGTCACCAAACGGTGTGGGCGATGTCCTTCGAGGAATTTTTAGGCCTTTAATTTTTGGATAATAAGAAGACACCTAACCGCCTGAATGACAGGAGTCACTGCTACGAGTTCTTTTGTTAGTAAGTTGATAAAGTAAAGTTCACACCTGTGCTGAGCTCTCAACACATCACTCCAGATAAAAGCATCATCAGCTCGCTGCCTAAAACCCAAAGTGGGAGATGTCACCTAATGGAGAGGCACATCAGCCTCTCTTGGCTCAGAGGAATGGGGCTTTCTGGGTACGGCACTTTGCACACGTGTGGGTGAGCGTGTCGGTACTTCGGGCCCACGGCAGGTCCGTCCCCGTGTCACACACTCACACACATCTGGATGTTTGAGGTGGGAAAAAGCTCAAAARGGAGCTGTTCAGATGTTATCGAGGTGGTTTTAAAGTCTTCTTTTTAAGAGTTATTTTTGTCAGCTGTAGTTTTTGACCACTGAAGCTTTGAAAAGCAGCAGGCTGTGACCTGAACTTAGAGTGATGCGTTTGATGTGTGTGGGAGTTCTGAACGTCGTAGGACATGGTGTCCATCAGACATCCGGTTCTGAGCTGCCTCCCTGTGCAGTCCCACAATCTGACTGGGATTTCTCTCTTTCCTGAGGGGAAGAGAAGAAAAGCAGTTTTTAATCTCCCACTGAGGCACTCCCAACATTTTTCTGTGATGATGAAAAGGTCAAACGTTAAGATCTAAATCACTCGTTGAGTATTTTCTTGGCCTCAGGGTCCTTTTCTTCTTTAGTTATACCTGAATCTGTCTGTTATCTTCATCAGATGTTTGGATTTAAACTTTCAGTATTAAACTGTAGCATTAAGTTGATAATGAACACAAATCCTCTGTTCTTCYCTTCAGTGCTGCAATAAACAGGCCGATGGTTAAAACAATTTCAGGAAAAGCAATAAGCTTTTCAGGAAGCAATAACTGTATCGGACCTTAGCGTGGGCGAAGGAGTTGGGAGTGAGCGAGAACAATAATCTGAATCTCCCTCTCTCTCTCTCATCATCACAGCAGGAGGAGGAATTAAATTAAAGCCGTCTGTCTTTTTTACAGCATGGGGGAGTGGAATGTTGTCAGTGGGTGTTGGCTGCTGGAAGAAACCTCTACGAGCCGAAGACTTTGCAGAACCCATGAGGGACCAAAGTGTTTGTGCTGCTCTGGACTTCAGCAGAGAGGTCACGTGATGCGTGGCATCAGAAGGCTGCAGCAGTGAGGAGGATGAGATGTAGGTCACTRATGTGGAAACACGTTCGGCCTCATTGTTGCTGCGTTTTTGAGTTTCATCAAACCCTCGGAACAAAGCCAGACGTCAGCTGGAAGAAGAGTGAAAAATAAATCACTCTTTTGTCTGCAGGGAAGCAGAATGAAGAAAAAAAGGAACAAAATGGTTTTCAGCAAGAACAATCATATAAAAC